GTTTAGGACTGCTTTGAGGGTATGAAGTGAAAATTGTAATAGACACATTATAAATAAAATTAGTAGGACTGGCAATAATAGTAACTCAACAGTGGCGGATCCAGGAATTCGAAAGAGAGGTGGCCCAGGGAGGGACTTTCACAGATACAGGGTCGACTCATCTCAGCCCAACCATGGTCGGGGTTGAATCACAAAAATTTGAGGAAATAGTACCTCTAAAAATGGCCGGAAATGACACCTTTATATAGTAAAATTCATCACCATCATATCGCTATAGTCAAAATAAAGCACCAACAAATTTCTCATGAGCATTTATCAAGGGATGTTCAGCAGGCATAGAGATCCAATTAATATGTGTGATGTATCATAGAAAATAAAACTTACATACATTGTCTTTAAAGGCCAACTCAGACAGCGTCGGCCGACGCCGCCCGACGCGATTTGTTGTCGCGTCGGGTCTGTGTGAGTTGAACGCAGACGCGATGGTGTGCGTCGGGGGCAGTCGCGTCGTATAATATTAAACATGTTTAATATTTCTCATGACGGCTTAAGACTGTCCCCGACGATAAATCGGGTCGGGCTGCGTCGGCCGACGCTGTCTGAGTTGGCCTTAATGTATTTACTTTACATACCGTACTTCAAAGTTGTGAGTCTACAACCACATCACCTTGGTTGAGCTGAGGTGAGGAAATATTATCTCTAGATGGCCGGAAATGACACCTTTGTATAGTCAAATGTATCATATCACCATTATAGTCAAAATAAAGCGCCAACAAATTTCTCATGATCATTTAACAAGGGGATCGTCAGCAACCATAGAGATCTAGTTAATATGTGTGATGTACCATGGAAAATAAAACTTTAAAACATTGACTTTGATGTATTTACTTCACATACTTCAAAGCTGCGAGTCCACATGCAACTGAGCCCCACCTTGGTTGGAGCTGAGGTGGGAAAATTTTAGGAATAGTACCTCTACATGGCCTGAAATGACACTTTTATAAATTCATCATCATCACATCACCATTATATAGTCAAATGAAGCGCCAACAAATTTCCGATGATCTTTTATCAGAGATTTTCGGAACACATAGATCTAGATAACCCAAGACAACTGGCCTAACATAGCTTACTAAGCTTTGACTACAATCTTCAATCTATTAACACTAAGCTAACCCTCTATGGGGACACCGAACCCCGAGACCATCCCAAATTTTCAGGTCCCAAAGGTGGTCTCGAATACGAGGGCAAACTGTAGGCCTGTCTACTATCATTATCACCATCATTTTCGTCATCATAATTATTATTATTATTACTATAGTAGTATTATCACAAAACTTTATCAAATATCATTATCACCATCGTCATCATCATTATTATTACTAAACAAAACTTCATAAAAGCTTGCAAAATGCTACAAACAAAACTGAACCATGCATTATCACGTTTATGTATCTTAAAGACTCCTGGCCTGGGATTTATGGATTTAAGACGAAATTAAGCTGATTTTTATGTTAAGTAAGTTTGATAAATCCACACACTGAGCGGTAAAGCCGTTATTATAATTCCGAAAATGTTATTTTTTGCATTATCGTTTATATATAGTTTATTCTGATGTTTTTCTAGTAGAGCAGTGACCACAGGTCACAAACATATGGTATAGTAGTATAGAAGGAGTCAATTAGAAATTGTACAGCATATAAATCAGCACCAAACTTTTTTTTTTCAATTTGTAATCTCATAAAAGTAACACGTCGTCTTATCACATAGCTCAGGTCAGCAAAATGAGTTATAACAAACAATGTTCTATTTGTATATCTAATTTGCGTAAACAATTCACGGTTAGGCCATGTGTTATAATTATAGTATTATAATTACGTGTGCTGATGCATATTTACATATTTTAAGTACTGTATACATTTTAAGCGATTCCAGGATAGAATTTGCTTAGTATTGGTTAGCAAAATCAAGTTTTAAAATACTAACACTGTGTACAAAGAGGGGAGTCGCTTTTTTTTTTTTTTAAATAAATGAATAAATGAAATAAATAAATAAATAGAAATATTACCGCATTATTACAGATGGGCGACTCCGAGGTTTTTAAAGGGCAGGTTTTAATTTATATTAATTATATACAATTAAATAATAATAATTATTATTAGAATGATAATCATAGTAATAATAATTATTATTATAAATATATACAGTAATAATAGGGCCTATTTTCAGTTTTTATATCATCATTATGATTCAAACACCAGCGAAAATTAAGGGTAATGTTCACACATTTTGATCAGAGGAAATCTATGTCAGACCCAGTTAGCTTCTTAATTAGACAATGCCAATTAGCGCGTTAATGACGTATGGTAATAGCGTGGTTGCTATAGAAACAACAATATTATTTACGTTAGTGGGTTCATCCAGTAATTTGAAGTAATTATTTCCATTAGAGACGTCGATCCTCACTGAATTGACTGTTTTTTAAACAGGGACGCCGATAATTGCACAACTTTTTTTCTTCGTTTCACAAACATCAGTAATTACCGTATTGTTTATTACGGTACAACTTGGCACGATTCGGGGAAACTCTATTCTGGTTTAAATATATTCTACCGGTAATTTCGTTTCCTGTAGAAAACAAAATAACAGTTATAACGTTACATTTATGCATTGCACATTATGATGATGATAATTGTGATGATCGTGATGATGATGAAGCTGATGATAACTGGAGCGAATCTACCCATGTAAAACGTATCATAAACATGCGCTTTGATTTGATTTGGGTTATTTATTTGATAACAAGGAAAAAATGTAAACCCATTAGAAAATTTGTGGGACTGTCCCAACTGTTCCAATAACTGCTACGGCATTGGATAGGCCCCTCAATGTTAAACATCAATACGAGATCTCGGATAAGATAATTTAAAATAGATCATAATCCTGATCTTGGAACATAAAAATGTTTATATTGTGTTGCTGTAATGCCTTAAGCGTTGGTTGTCTATATCATATACTTCTATATTCTAATGACATCACCTTGTTGTACGGTGTTCCTTGTTAGTGAGAGTTTATAATTGCCGTACCAGACCTGTATTTATAGCTTGATATGAATAGTTTGAGATTGTTTTCATATTTGTATGGTTTCTCAACATAATACATTTCGAAAGAGCTCAAGCTACTACGCGATATCCAACAATTCCCATTATCTTGCTCGACTCAGTTGTCGTGTTCAATTACATTAATTTGTATTGGAACGAAGACTCATACAATGGTCAATGAAATCAAGTCGCTGTATCGACGACAATGGAATACATTCACTTTACATTACTCTTCAGAAAATGTCAAACGAACTGAAAACCACAATTCTAATGAAGTACTTTGTTGTCTAGAGATTTTGAGTCTATAAATAGAAAAATTAAAAACAGAGATTGATAGAAATTGGACTAATGTATTACACTCTACTCAGAACTGTAGGCCTATTAGGCCTATTATCAACGTCTACTGAGATTTGTATCATCGCCTAATATTTTGTATAGTTTTATTATTTATAATAGAAATGATGAATTGGTCTACCTGACCTGTTATCGTACACCGCAGAATGCTCAGTGCGTTCCCAAATACGTGCGAAAAAAATCTCGCAAGTGATTCGGGCGAGATTTTTTTCGCAAGTTTGGCAACGTACTGAGCTCTCAGTACGGTATGACAACTCGTCAGGTATGCCTAAGGTTCATTCCTATTACTATATCTCCTGACGTAAGCACCATCGGAATAGTTTATTTTTATTATTTGTCCTAGTCGGAACATACGGAATAACTGCTAGCACCTCGTACTGACATTCCGTCTTTGCTGTAGACAGTGGTGACGCCAGCGGGGGTTCCATTCTCCCCCCCCCCCCTCCACTCCGTCGGACAGGCCTGGAACCGCCTGTCGTCCGACGCACGTCTAGATCGTCGGATCAAAAAATTAAAAAAAATATATATAATTTGCCTATAACGTTATTTTGACTGCCAACCCCTAATGTTGTGGTCTAAAAGGCACATTTTGGACCATTCTAAGTCATAAAAACTCTGCCCGTGAACCTTACAAGTGAGGTTTATTCCGGGCCGTCGACCGAGGCTTCGTCGGCCCCCTTGGCTCGGACCCCTCCGTCGGACATGTAGGACTCCTTGTCGGCAAATTTCTGGCGTCACCGCTGCCTGTGAGTAATCGTGCCTATATAGGCCACAGTCAGCGATGTGATTAATGTAACACTCAAGTCTCCATTGACAGTAGGCCTATATGGAGTACACCTTTTCCCTTTTCCCCACCTTAATTTTTACATATCTTACACCTATTAACCGTTCCCAAGTTTTTCATCAAATACCCCTTCAGTGTCTTTAAAAATGCAGTTGTACAACATAATATAAACCAAAAAATTCCTCTGGCGCCTGTCTATCGATTAAAAGCCCCCAAATTACTACTTTTCAGGAGCTTCTTCTGTTTTTCCTATAGACCTATCCCAAATTAGGCCCTTGGCCCCAGGCCGAAACACGCTCACGTCCCCTCCCCGTTATGAAAGTTCCTTCACCCTGGTCCTGGTTAGGAAAATCCTGGCACCGCCGCAGAAGATATACTAAATATTGAAGATGTAATTGTCACGTGTAATATACCAACAAGAAAGTATAATACATACTCCAAGTATTGAAATACACGCCATCGTGTTGGGATTCAATATTTCGACATTAATTATGTCATCATCAGGAATGATGATGACATTCCTGATGATCATTCCTGATGATGACATAATTAATGTCGAAATATTGAATCCCAACACGATGGCGTGTA